GGAGGGTGGGGATGGGGCCTTGGGGGAAAGGGTGGAGTGGGAGCGAGTCTTGGGGCTAAGCACCCCCAGGAAAAACTGGAAGCCGGTTTGGGGTGGGGGGGGGAGTCCATGAAAATTTTTAAATCAAAATGGGGATCCTCGGATTACTAAAGTTTGAGAACCACTGCTCTAAAGCATCTGGAGCTGGACCCTATCAGAGACAGGATATGTAGCTAGACTGACCATTGGCAATCTGGCAATTCCTATTGTAAGGTAGATGCGGTGGGTATTCTAGACACAAGAACTGACTAAAATTGTCATGTACTTACAAAACACTGCTAGGATCTAGGGCTTGTCTTCACTGCAGCATCACTCATGATATACATCAAGTGTTGGCCCTAACCGACCTCCTGTCCACATGCAGATATCTCCAGCTTGAGCTAAGTGGTGCTTTCAACTCCAGCTAGCTGGCCCATCTGGGGTGTGGGCAGGTTGAAAGCTCTAGTCCTGCTGACCCTAGAGCTAGTAATGCAGTGGGGATGCAGCTACCGGCTGCAACTCAAGTTAGCACAACTCATCGGCTGCTAATCCAATGGCTCCGCTGATCCAGTCCCGCTGTGCTGCTAGTCAAAGCCCTCCACGTGGCTAACGTGTTGTTTCACAGTGTGGCCACTCTCCGCCGAAGTGGGCTAGTGGAGTAACTCCAGCTAACCATTGCAGTGAAGACAAGCCTGTAGTCTGCACAACCATTGTAAAGGACTAAGGCCTCGCATTGCTTTCTGTTGTAGAGCTTTATACAGCCCTGCAGGGTGAAGTCCTCTGTTCTTAACAAATACATCATGGGCGCCACATTTTCCTACCGATGTTCCCAACCCTTATTATGTAGGGACCGTGTGGGGGCATAAGGAAATCTTTGTGCTCATTCAGGCCCAGCTACAAAGCTGACTGCCGCCAATGGAAAGAGTCCTGTTGATTTAGTGGGCACTGGATGGCTTCTGCACTGAGGCTACCCAACAAGAAGGATGCTAATTACGTTGGCATTTTTGGTGGTTTTCTTACTATAGCTCTTAACATTCAGATTCTCTGGATGTGGTTCTTTGATTTAAGGCCCAGGAACGGGGGAAGGGAGTCCCTGGCAATGAGATATTAATGAACAAAGAAGCAATAGCAGAATTCTAGATTCTAAACACAACAAGGGCAGTAGACAACGTGGGCATTCGAGTGCCAGTTTCCTTCCATTCTTGGAAAATAATCGGAGTTGGCTTTCGAGGGCCTGTTTCCTGTTGCGGTGAAATGATTCTTTGCTTCTGTGACACTTAAAGAAACGCCAGACTGTAAAACACAGCTCTGTGTCTATTCCCAGTCCAAGATTCATGCTGCGAGAAGCCTAAGTGAAATCGCCATTGACCTGACTGAAACTGGAACGCTGAAGACTTCGAAACTAGCCAACATGGGAAGCAAAGGCAAAATTATCAGCGGCAGCAGCGGCAGTCTTTTGTCATCCGGTAAGTCCTTTCCCTTGTAACTGCAAGCGAAATACGGGTTCCTGCCCCTCTGCTTTGTATTAGGTAAGAGCTGCCAGGTGAGGTGA